TATTTAACGTTTGTGATCGATAAAAAATGTTTAATTATTCCTTGTGAAAAAGCTGTTGAACCTGACATTACCTAAAATTGACCACTTTATTACCTTGCTCAAACGAGTTTTATTATATAGTATATACGACAATATCTACTGTAAAAGCATGTCTGTTATACTTGTATAATAAATTTGTTTTTAAAAATTATATATAAATTTTAATTTCTTGGAACGGAAAGATTTTTTTTGATTACACAAGTCCAACATGTCCAAACTGTCCAACTAGCAAGGCCCCAAGGGCCACAACTAAAACTACCTTTAATACGGTTGCGGCCCATACTTACAGTACTCGAGCGTTCCACATCTGACTTATCCGTGATGTTGATCTCGGCAGTTTGCCCTACTGCTCTGAAGCAGGGGAGGGGCGAGGGGGCAAGGGGAGTGGAACCATGTGTGTCATTAGGTCGTAACATGCATAACGCAGGGAAACACATTGGAATAATTTGAATCTCTGAATTGAATAGAAAAAACTCTTAAAGCTAAACAATATATTTTTCGTAAATGGGGTGCTGACCCCGACAGGGCGAGAGTGCTAGGTGCGCAATGTTCTCTCCCGACATGGATGCAAGGAACGCTCACTTTTGCCTAATAATCTTCCTCGGGCCACTATAAATGGCACCGCAGGCCGCATGTGGCCACAGGCCGCCTGTTGGACAACCCCAACTTAAGCCAGCCCTGAGGAAGACCACGACAAGATGGTCGAAACGTCGGCAACACAGCCTTCGACGCGGCGTCACCCGGACAGCCCAGATCACGCACGTGACTCTGGCCGCGGAAGCTAGCGACTTCCACCCTGGCTTAAGTTAAATAATTATTTTAAAAGTATTTGCTACGTCATACACATCACACATACACACACATACACACACACACCTACACATTCGTATGCATCTAGTTTGTATACCCCTTTTATAGAGATTGTATCGTCTTTCTCGCTGAGCTCCATTTGTGCTTGTTCTGTGGCTGCTGCTGCTTCGAGCAGTCGACGAGTGCACCGCTTTTTGCTCCTGCCAGAAATGTTTCGGTCTCGAATCGTTACGTTTGCATGCGTCGGGTTTAGAGCGTTCGCCCTTGCAACAACATTTTTTGACAGTAGCTCCCTACAAATGGAGCGTGCCTACCAAGAGATTAATGAGTTACAGAAACTTTTCACTGACAGATTCAAAGGAGCTTGCCGTTCTCGAATATGACGGCTCTCTGTTTAGTGGCAGAAAATCCCGCGGATTGTGTTCTTCCCATTTTCTAATATTTGATCTAATAATTTCTGACTTTTCTCGTAGTAAATATATCAACTCAATTTCATCCCTAAAAGTGACACACTGTAAACAAGTACGTGTGTATGGAGTTGTAATTCCTCCACAATATAGTGCGTTGTACTCACATAAGCACTGTTTGATCAATGTCCATCTTTACACTTAGACACAGTGTCTCCCATTGCGTGGCAGACTGTCAGTTGTCTTTCTGCTCCGTTTGGAAGCCGATACTCATGTGCTTTGTTTGGTGCGGTACATGTGCGAGAACAAAGGACTCGTCCAGTTCTTCGCCCGGTAATATTTGGCGTTCCGATGCATTTCGGATGCGGAGCACTGATCTTTTAACGTACAAACATAGTTCGTACTTTCTGACCTCCAAATTCGACCCTGTCACTCACCAATGTCCCTGTCTTTCAACCAATCTATCTACAGTAGTGCTAAAAAACCGCATCACATAAAGAAAATGGGTATTCATTTTCCGTAATACAATCGTCTCTCAAAAATTTTAAAGAAATCTTAGAAGAGTTTGGTAATCATTTTTATGTGGATTATATGATATTTCGGATTTCATTACCTTCATAACTCGTTCGATTTGTGCAAATCAAGAGGCGTATTTTCAGGATTATATTGCAGCATTATATTATACAACTTTGGGAAGAGTGATGCGGTTTTTTAATCTACCTAATCTTTTTTTATTTATTTTAACGATGGGAACTGTGGAAATCTTCAAAAGACGAAGAGGAGCCCGCACTCCACAACAGTGTGAGATTTTCCCCCACTAAAACCATAAACCCTTCATGTTCCTAGCTTTATCCACCCTGGAACCGCAGTTATTCATTACTTCAGGATGGTGCCTGCTCTATTATTTCGAGGTGCTATTCAGGTTCAGCTATGACTGGTTTCTTTCAACTTCTTCCTTCTGCTTGAGAATGGCGGCGATATATTTCTTTATTTCTGTCCACTTCTCCTTGTTCCAGACCATTAGTGTAACCATGTTTTCTGGTGAGACATTACACCCGACCTCCCATATCATGCGATGCCTTAGCGTGTCCCATTTCGGGCAATGGAACAGCGTATGTTCGGCGGCGTCCGCTTCATGGCTGCAGTAGAAGCATACCGCGTCTTCTGTCTTTCTGAATCTTTTAAGGTATGCCTTAAAACATCCATGCCCTGTTTGCGGCTTATCCATTACGATACATTCGGGTTGAGCCTATGAGTCCATCTGCCGGTCACCTCTCTGTCCCAGCGTTTCTGCCAGCGGTACATCACGTATTCTTTAGCCTTTTTAATTGCGCTATACGTATCTTGGTGCGTTCGTCTTCCGTTGCCTTCTTGCTCATGGGAGTTGTCGTAAACTTCTTTCCTTTCTAGAACCAGCAGTAGGAGGGACGTTCGCCAGCAGAAGAACAGCACTTCCGGATACAGTTCTATATGCCGATGTTATGCGTAGAGCTCCTTTCCTCTGGACAGACTTTTCCTACTCAAATTCTTGTTTTGAAGATCTTCTGCCCAGATCGGTGCTGCAGAGAGCATTTTCGAGTGCATCTCACTCCTAAGAATTCGTCTCGTCTTGTCGCTGGGGCCCCTGGTGTTCGGCATCAATCTTGAAAGCGATGCTGCTATTCTTAGGGCTTTTTCCGTCGTCTCGGAAACGTGTGGTCCAAAACTTAGCTTCCTGTCAATTTCCATTCCTTGGTAGCGAAGGCTCTTGCGACATAGTATTTTTTCCTTGCCTATTAGGAATGTTGGGTTGGAGTAGGATCGTCTGTTGGTGATAAGCAATTCTTCCGTTTTATGAGCTGCCACTTCCAGAATCTATCTACTTATCTATCTATCTATCTATCTATCTATCTATCTATTTATCTATCTATTTATCTATCTATCTACCTATCTATCTATCTACCTATCTATCTATCTATCTATCTATCTATCTATCTGTCTGTCTGCCTATCTATCTAAGTATTTATCTATCTATCTATCTATCTGGCTGTCTGGCTGTTTGTTTGTCTATCTAAGTATTTATCTATCTATCTATCTACCTATCTATCTATCTATCTATCTATCTATCTATCTATCTATCTATCTGTCTGTCTGTCTGTCTATCTATCTATCTATCTAACTAACTATCTATCTTTCCATCTATCTACCTATCTATCTTTCTATCCGTCCGTCCATCTACCTCTTCGTTGGTTGTCCCAAGAGCGCTCCCACTCTGCCTAGCAGGCGCGCGTCTGCAAGCCGGGCGCTGTGTGTTGCAGAGTCGCTGTCGGCGCACTACGACGTGCCGCCCACGCTGCTGCGCCGCTCGACGCTGTGCGCGGCCGACCGGCGCGCGTCGCTGCCCGCCGCCCCGCTCTCCGCCTCCGCCTCGGCCGCCACCACGCCCACCTCCGCCTGCGCCTCCGCGGGGCCCCTCGGGCCCGGGGCGCTGTCCTGGGCGCCCGACCCGCCGCCCACGGCGTCGCTCTACCTGGCGCCGCCCCCGCCCACGCCCACCCACGCGCTCGACCACGCCCCCGCGACCGACCACGTCTACGAGGAGCTGCCTTGCTGGCCGAGGATGCGGTGAGGCGGCCGACGCGTCTGAGGCAGGGAGCCAGGGCGAATTGCGGTGCGGGTGATTTACTTGGTCCATATCCACCGTAACTCCAGCACCGAAAATTCAACACTGTTTCGCCCCCGCCCGCGTCCCCGGCCGCACGCCTGCCTCCGTTGCTGATCTCGCCATCGCTGCCCACGCCGCTCCTCAGTGTATGAGGTGCTGGTCGAAGATTAGGTGAGGTGGTGATTTGGAGAATATGAACGGTTCTGGAGCAGGGAATTAGTCCGAATGATGGTTCCGGTTGAGTGAGGTGGACAGTGTCTTTATATATCCTATTGGCGGACTACAATAATCCTCTTGTCTGAAGTACTCTGCGTTTTTTGTCAAAAAATTAAGTGATTTATCATGCAGTAGATTCTGCTTGCACAATCCAAAATACGCACAGTTCATGATTTAAGTTCCGAGTATTTCGAAAAAGAAATGGATAGCATTCGATTTGCACAATATATTCTTGTCGAAGAATACACCAAGTGCGTATTAATTAAGTGATTCATAAGGAAATGAAATTGTTTCGTAATACATAAAAAATCAAGGTGTCGGGTAGCTTATAATACTGCACAAATTGAAATATGGTTCTGGAGAATAATTTAATAAGAATCTATTCCCAAGAAACGTGTAACTGGCAAAACATAATGTTCTGCAATTCACCTCGGCCTTGTTTTGTGCTCCAGAACTGTTTCCATATGAATATAGAGGAGTTCATCTAAACTGTCCCTGAGAAAGGGTTTCTGATGTCTTTCCAAGAACGAACAAAGTGCTCCAAAATATGACCGCTTGATTGAACCATTGTCCTTCGTGTGTTCATATTTTCTAGTGTGAATGATACGCATCGTACATAACGTGACATGTATTTTGCACTCCTGAAATTATATTGCTGAAGTAAGCAGTATTTTTCAGAAGAAAGATATTTTATGTTCTTCTTTAACTCTATCTTCTGTTTATATATAATAAGTGTAGATTGTTTCGCATAGAATACAAGTTACCAAAGAAACAAATTTCTTTATACACCATGTCTTCATACGAGTAGGTTTTCATGCATATCTCGCCTAACGATGACTTTGCTTTTCTGTGCCATACGATGTCAACAATAAGACGTTGCCTTGATACGTTGTCATCAATAGTCATAATATTTTATTGCTTTAAGAAGGTATTGACAAGATAAATGAGAATGTGACATTTTCAAGGAGGTGAAATTGTTAAAAATGAATTGTCATCACTGTATTACATGTCCACGTTTTCTTGAGTCCTGGTATACCTACCCCTACTCCATTTGTTGAATTAAGAATAAATTATAGAAACGAGCGCTGCTGACAAAATCTGATAACCAGAAATGTTGGCCTCTATGAAATAGATACTATTTTGCATCCTATTTTCCGTAACGAGCTGCAGATTTGATTCAAACACGTCCTGTCGTCTAAAGAGCAAACACTCCACTCCTTTCGTATCAAGAGAATTGAAGGCTCAAGAAAACGTCCGCGAATAGTACTTTCGTCGTGATTTTGATAGATCTAAAAACTGAAAAACAGACATTTAAAAAAATAACATGGACAAATCCAAGAAATAAGAGCTTTTTTACTTTTTAAATTGTTATATGTGAATCTATTTCCAACCATCTGGCGGATCTAATGAAGCCTTTTTTTGGGGGGGGGGAATTATTTTATTGCTCATTTTTGGAACGTGCGTACCATCGTTATATTTGGCATTCAATTTCATTTCTTTAATTGCTATTTATTATTGTTGTCTTCGATTATGTAGTATTATATTTTATTCAAATATAAGTAGTAATTTAAATTTCTATTCGAAACAAGTTTTACTTTTCTCTATTATTATGTAATTCCCGTTACATCTTTCTGAGACGAGCAATAATTTCAATAATAATATAGTTTCTTATATACCCAAAGAGTCTAATGTAACTTAAGTGCATCGATTTTAATCATTCAATCTTCCAAAACCGTGAGATAAGAGCTGTATGTTAGGAAAAAGAGCGTTGCCATCTTAAGAGCTGCGTCGCAGCTGAGGCCTGCCTGGAAGAGCCGTATATTGTGAACGATGATCTTATTCTACACACGTGCGTCGAGAGAGCAGATGGCTGAGTGTCTTTATTTGGATCAGACAACTGCGGCCGGCATCCGGTACGTTCAGCTGGAGCTGGCGCGACAGCAGCGCTTCTCGACGTTGGTGTGGGGAACTCGTTGAAATCTAGTGATGCAGTACTTCGCCAACAGAGCGCACGATACGGGTGCGTTCTGTCGAGGACGATATATTCTCTTTTCTGCAGGTCTGTGGTTTCACGGGAGTCTGCGGAAGTTTCATATCGATGAATGCTCATTTCCGCTACATTTCACTGGATATCAGTCGAGGCCATCTTGAACACGATATTTAAGATTTCGGCATGGAAAACTTCCTGTTTTGGTTTTTACGGACTTGATTGTAAAAGTATTTTGTGTGAAAGAGAAGAATCTTGTAATGAATTAATAGAACTGTGCCAAATATTACAGTGCCTCATATTATATAACGTCCGATTCTTTATAACGAATGATTTCGATGTTCACATGATGATACACCTAAGATTTACAGTCATCTATTTGTCTATTTTTCGGAAGATTTTTGTGATACTATATTTTTGTATTGACAAACAGACTTGAATGTCAATCAATACATAATAAAGCGAGTACAAGTATGAGAAATTGTCATGTGTTCAGCACACTGTAATACATTTTTTTGTGATTTTGTGTGAAGGGAAGAGATGTATGTAAAGAAAATAGATAATAAAAATATAAATATTCATATTTAATTGTGTAATACTTGACTGTAGAGAGGGGAGATCCCTGATTCTTTAAAACTATGCTCATGAACATTACGTGGATTATTTGCTTGGAGGAAACAATATTGTGGCACATAAATACAAGAAATGTTCACATTTGTGTCCCTCAACTATCCTTCACCTGTCTCCGAATTGTTCCGTCATTTCCCTATCAGTCCCGACATACCACACTCCTGTCCCCCAAAAATATTGGGCTGCCTGTCCTCAAAAGCTCGTGTCCCAACGGGGCACTCAAACTCGGTTTAAAAAGCGTAGAATGCATCGTTTATGAGCTATGCACGATTATAATAGAGTTACAATTATCTGTTTTGTGTGTCATAATCTGTAAACTTCTATTTTTTTGACTGGAGTCTGTTGCATATATCAGGTGTGTAATTCACTGTCCCCCAGTAAAACACTTACAGAGTGTTGTGTTGATTGGAAGATTTTTATTAATTTGCCAAAAACCGTCATCTTTCTGTAGTTTATTATACACTACATAAAGGATTATAAGGATTGTTCCACTCGTGCAATTAACAACAATAGTGCTTAACTATACACACAAAATGATCCAATCAGGGCGGTGTATCTCAAAACGTTTATCACTTTTTCTAACTGAATGTTCTTACCGCTTCTACCTACTGGCCAATCTTAAACTGTGGCTCATCTATCTTACGTATACATAGATCGCTATGTCAATGTCCAATGAAGCGCCTATGTGTTACAACGTAACCTCTTTGATTTTAACATTTTCAATATTTTGTGGATTATGGAACTCTGTTGGATATAATTTCACTCATGGTATATTCCTATTAAATATCACTCGTGCTTTGGAAATTCTCATATAAATCCATATAACTGTGTTCTACAACAATGAATGCAAATGCATAATAAACACTGAAATAAAGTTTCAGAACTCTTGCAGAATCTTTCGAAGTACATTTAAAGTTATAAGAGGTTTTAAAGGCAGAAAAGGGTAAAAATTGGTTTTATTTCTTTAACAAAGGCACAGAAATCGAAACAAATCTGAGAAAATTTACAATAATGGTATTTTGAAAATACGTTTTGAGAGAGTTTCGTGCTAGTTCCCATGTTCTAATTTAGAGAATTTTTTTTTCGTTTGGGTTTGGCTGAAAGAAAAGATAAAATGTTTTTAATAGTGTGTATTATATTTTCTTAATTTTTCAAATAGAAAAATTGAATTGAGAAAAAAATTAAAATAAACAACACATTTTGGCCTGTGTATGGGAAAAGGTAGTCGTAGGAGGGCAACGGAATTTTCAAAAATCGTATTTTAATGCTAAATTTCCAAACCTACAATATGGGAGCTGTGTTTTCGTAGACCATTACTTACCCAGTGATGTTCAAATATCGGAGCTCCCTCCACGTCTCCATACCGCCACTCCTGCATGCGCCCGTCACTTCACTTACGAAATTAGGGGAATTGCACGCCTCACTCTCTCCATGCCTCATTTTGTATTGGGAGCATCAATCAATTCATTTCTCGCATTCTCTCTTTCTAAGAATATCGTTAAGTAGGTACTCTTTGCTCCAAAGAGTACTAACGGTATATACTTATCAATAAGATGCAAATCCGTCCAATTCTATCCTCTTTTCTATCGTTATGTTTTACTTATGCTTTATTCTATTGTTATATCTATGTATTTTTATTATATTTTAATATTTATTCAATGAATTGAAAATAATCTTAGTTTCTCTCACAAATATTTAATTTAATCTACTACACGTTTTACGTGCAATTTCAAGTAATTCTGGACTAATAATTTTAATTACTCTGCTTTGCTCACTTATTGATTCCTGGTCAAACATTTTTTTCTTATTATTAATATTATTCATGACCAATATCCATAACATTTAGGTGAGTTTTACCTGCGGGCATCCACGTACGACAAATCAGTACTTACTTGGTTGTGTGCAGACCGTTCATCCATAGGAATCAGCGATTTCTGAAAAAGGAATTTTCTGAATGATTGCAAGTACAATTAATCAGCCTTTTTAAACAAACAAATTGATTATTTATTTGTAATTAAATCGATAACATATTGCGTAATGAACTGTATCATTAACCCTAACCATAATATTAATTGGATGGCTGGTGAGGTAGATACATTTTTATTATGATAAATAAATAAAGATATTGTCTGGTATCAATACTTTTTATTCAGCTTATGATCGTTTCGATCGCTAAGCGATCGAAACGATCATAAGCTGAATAAAACGTATTGATACCAGACAATATCTTTATTTATTTATCTAACCAAAATAGTTCTTTTTCAGAAGTGTCTCGCTTGCTTACTTCTGTCCTTGGCGCGCATTCAGGGCCTTCTCGGGAGACTCCAAAGCGAGGGAAACTACCGCCGTCTTCTCTCTTCAGTCGACGCGGCGACATTCCCTGCCTCCCCCTGTTTTCAACGCGTTGCTATTCGTCGTCTGTCATAAAAAGTGTTCACTACAACTCTAACGAATTGTTAATTAATTCGCCAGGTAATTATTAACAACATTATCCGCGCTCACGATATTTCCCTGCGCCTCTGACGATCGCCTAACCGCGTCACTTCCTAATATCTACAAATAAAATGTTCAAGGAATGATATGGCTACGATCTAGTCCCTCATCACAATTGTATTTTGTATAACGCGTGTTCGTTTCCTACTTGATACCTAAAACTGCCTGAAGTTATCATTTCTGTTCTTCTTTACTTATTCCCACAATGAAGACAATAATAATAATAATAATAATAATAGTAATAATAGTAGTAGTAATAGTAATAATAATAGTAATTAATAATAATAATAGTCAATTCTCTTTCCTCCTAAATTCTACGCCCTGTCATTGCTAATTTTCTAGGACACAATCCACAACGCGTCTCCGTCTTACAACGTCTCCGTCTTATACAATATGTATATCTTATTTTGTTTTATTTCTTATATATACTTAACGTCAACAACAGAAAAACTGAGTGTGGCGTATTAAGGAGAGAAATGTATTCTGTGAACTTTTTCGTAAATCCGGGAATGCAGTAGCATTAGTAAAGACAATTTGAGAAAGTTTTCTTAGGTATGAGAACGTATAGAGAATTTGGCATTTAATGTGTAATTCGTGTTAAAACGAGCACATTTCGAGAATATTACAATACTATTATGTTTAATAGTTACCATTATATATTTTTCGATCTATTCCTATTTGTTTGCCAGTATCGTGTAAGCAGTATCGTATTATGTATTAGCTTTTAATTATTTTACATTTTCGCATACTGCTTATACAGAATAAGACTAAAAACTCATCGGTTATGCTCATGAATACACTGCACACCTTGTACAACGAATTAAATGCCAGAAAGGTATTTTCGTTTAAAGATTTGAATAAAATATATATTCCTTGAAACTATTTAATTTGCGCACCAAATGTTCTACGATTTCAAATAAGTTTTACAAAAAATGATGACAGATGTGTTGATTTGGGGAGAAATTGTGGTGTACTACATAACCATTACGAAAGGCGAGAAAATACGTGTTTTAGCCCCACTATTTTGTATTCGCGAGAAAACAAAACTCAAAATTGCTGAAAAAAAATGGACTCAACAAAGATGTTCGTACGAAACACCATTTAGGATATTTTGACTGCTTCACCCGTCGAAAATTTCTACGAAGAAACGGAACAACGAAAGAAAGAGAAGGCAGAAGGCAAAGGTGCGCCGAAGAAAAGAAGTCGTTAGTATAGACAAAGGTTTGCTAAGGCTCCCATTACCCAGGTGATGAGAGCCAATCGAGTCAGTTTGGTTTTTCTTTCTTTTTTATCATAAAGGAAGTGTCCGTTCGCTTTTTGTTTTATATAGTTTATGGATCAAATATAACAGAATCTAGATTAAAAACAAGATTTTCAAAACTCGTTTCTACGGCATTTTTATTTCACTTTTTATTTCGTTAGAAGGTCCCTATTCTCCAGTTCTACCCTACACCGTTTGCTGTTAATTCATCCCAAAGAAATATTATAATTGTGTACATTCCAGATTAGTGGTGGCAATTTGAATTATTTTGGGAACCTATGAGTAAACAGGAGGCCATGTGCGTTACCTTCACCTCCCTTCGAATTGTCTCGTCATACACACACTCCAACAAACGTTAAAGAGAACAGTAAACAATAATTGATTACTTCTCAGCTGTAAAGGTACCTGTGATACCATCTGTAGTATGATGAAGCTGAACCATAATGAATATCATTAGGGAACGAGCTGCAGTCATCTAATAACAGATTGGACAGGTTTTGAGAATTATGTTTTATAAATTGAGTTAACTTCAAGCAGAAAACATATGAAAATAACTCGTTTTTTTTTCAAAAAATTCTGCATGACCTTTTTTAAAATTCTAATTTTAAAAACAGATTTTATTTAAGAACAAATCTCTACCATCAATGTTATACTATTGTGCTTTATTTTCTGCAATTTTTCAACATACAGAGATTCCTAAAAATGGGTCTAGCACCTTTTTTACCGTCCTTTGCTACATATGAGGAAAATATTTGTAGCCATTTTTGTTTAAAAATTGCCTGTAGATTGCATCTTTGCAGATTTTTGAAAATCAGTACGTAACCTTATTTTTAGATCTTTCTTTGAGCAACAGATTTCAACCAGAAAAAATCAACAATGAATATTGCAGTTAGAGAAGAATAACGAAACTTTCTGAGCTTTTGCAATTTTCGAAAATGTAGAGATTTCCACGAAAGTGTGTGCGCCATTTTTAAAAGCATGATATAACCAGAGGACAATGTTAAATACAAATGGAGCCATTTTTGAAAATATTGTGAAAGTATTGTTAGTGCTGCATGTAAAATGTCTCCAAAAATGAAATTATTCGTTTCAAATGCAGAGGTCCTTCACTTCCTTCAAATAGATAAAGGAATACCAATTTTGAAAACAATCATGTGAACGGTTTAGACGCTAGCGATGGCCTCGGGCGGACGGACGGACGGACGGACGACCATTTCGCTGTCAATCGATTTTTCGGTATGAAAGACCCAGAAAACGTGAATTCTGACTACACGTGTGAAAGAAAATAATTTATGGATTAATATTAATCTAATTGTTTGCAATCCGAGTTCGACAGTACCACTGTTTCTGTTGAAAACTTGCCTATTTCTGCTGACTTACAATACTTTCTCGTTCCCACGTAAGTACAAAATAAGACAAAAAAATAAAAAGTATACATTAAAAAACTTATTTAAGTTTTCATTTCATTACAAAATTAGTTTTAATTATTGTCAGTATGATGTATCAAGTCGTAATGATTCATGTGAATACCGAAAAGAGAATATAGGAATTCACAGTTTCACCAATGTACTCTTAGGTGCATTGAATCATGTCAAACACGTACATTTCTATAATTACTCGTAAATAGCCTACAGCGAATGGGATAAGAATTTTTTCAACAATTATTTCTTGCCTAAAGGCATCGCATAATTACTGAACGTCTCTGGGTAAGTAACCCAAAAATCGTTTCAGTTAAATAAAAAAACACACACGACTTTTAGAGAAATATTTTAAAATAGGATAGATCTGGAAAATAATCAGGTCTCCATCGATGTGTGTCGAATGATTGGTGGACAGGGAGTTTGCCGTTTACGGTAAACGGTAATTCAAGGTCGGACGGATAGATACTAGCTACTCCATAACAACATAATTATTTCATATCATTTTATAACAATTATTATTAACGAAACTACTACATAGCATTTTATTGATTACACAACAAATAATCCGTAATTTATTTAGCGTATGAAACTTGTGTATTATCCGCGCACGTTTTTTTAAGTCCCGGAATATCTAATCCCACCCCTTTGTCAATATTTGTTGAATGAAGAATGAGTGAAGAAATGAACGTTGTAGACAAAATTTGATAACTGAAAATGTTCGCTCCCGAATAACGAAACTATTTTGCATTGTAAAAAGAACTACAAATATTTTTTTTCATAATAACCAAACTTTCCACTCTTCTTGCAACTAGCGTCACGAGGGCTCAGAAAAATGTGCGCATATTTTATGAACCGCCAGCGCAAATTTCAAACTTGTTTATCTAAAACCTTCAAGTTTCGAGTAGATCTAATGTTGTAGACCCTGAAATTATTTATATCTACCACCCCGTTTCCAGGAAATTACAAAATCTTCCACAGGGGTAGATATCAACATGGCTGGAGGTTTCGGATTGCTGCAAATCAAACAACAGGAAGCTCATTACTCCATAGCCCTACGAAGAGTGTTATCGCATCGGTAGGGTATAAGGCCAACCGTGAGACGAGTTCGGTTCAGTTGGGCGTTCGCCACCAGGGTCGCTGCAGCCGACCTGACCGCAGGTTATTGTGGCACCATGCGTGGCTGTGGCATCATGTGCTCCCGGGTGCTTGTGCTGATGCTTGTTGCCACTGCCTTCGCACACGTCGCAGGTAAGATACGAGTTTTCGCAGTTCGCAGTCGTGCTACACATACTACGAAATATGAACTTTGTGGTTAACTCAGGCATTAAAAACAAAATAAAAGTATGTTAATTTGCCATCGTTTTGGAATGTATTATTTCACCTTCAAGTATATGAATAGGAAACACTTTAATGTTAAATGTACAATTGTAAATAGACAACGATATGAAACACGCCACACTAAAAGTTAGTTAAAATTGCGTTAAAATGTGTTCCAGCATACTCGTATGAAAGTCGTTCCTCAATTTGGATGGACAATCTGTAGCTTTAAAAAGTGGTGAAATTATAACGTATGTAGGTATATTTTAGATCTTCGCTAAAATGTTACCATGGAAGTTCAGAGCATCATTTAACACACAGGTCTACAAAAGAAATTGTCACTTTTTTTTAGATCCAATAACTTATTTTATATATTTAAAGTGTAAGGATTATAGAAATGACTTCCATTTTCCCGTATCACATCGGGTTTTAAAAAATGTACATTTAAACATCTTTATAATATCTTTAACTTGAAAATCTGAATCGAATATTGTGTGATAAACACGAAATATAGAACAGAAATAAAGTGTTCCTTATATTATTTTTTATATCAGAGTTAATAAAATTAAAATTAAACACTTTAACTTAAGGCCATCGCTTGAATGTTATTATTGCATCCTAAATCTTCATATTTTTTCAGATATCATTTAAATAATACGCATTGTTTGAATCTTCATAATTTCCAATGAATATCTGAACTACTTCTTTGATGCCAATCCAAGCTTCCCTTTCCAGAGGTGTCATTCATGCTTTAAAATGTTCGACGTTAGCTTGTTCTCTGATCTGCCTACAAAGATTCTACTTTGACTTTTCGTTCTGAGATGGTGGGAAATTTATTGATAGGTACTTAAAACTACCATTCTTATCCAGTACCTTAGTAAATTGCTTCATTAATCCCAATTTAATGTGTAAGGGAGGTAACAGTTTTTTAGGATCTACTAATCTGTTTTTATAATGTTCTTAGAGCCTGAAAAGTGTTTCTTCTAGGCCATTCCCACCTTGTCCAATGCTTTTTTCTATCTCGGCTGCCCATTGATAAATGTAACATAGGTACTTGGTGTAATTCTGTTGAAGTCCTAACAACATGCACAAACCTTTAAATCAGCACAGATCACCCATTTGTTTTTCTCATAATATACCTTTTCGAGTAGCAATTTAAGATTGACATGACTCCTTAAAATGCGCGGAATGTGCGACTGCTACATGTGCTAAAGTGTTAGCAATGTGTAGCAACACACCTTTAAACTTCACTTGCTTGCATCAATGAAAAGTCCCCATATATGTGATTTATACTCTCCTCCTAACTTATTTATGAGGTTTGAAATGTGAGCGCAATATACTAAGGAGTCTTCTTGATTAAAAAACCGTACTAAGTCTTTCTCTCTATGACTTTAAACTGTAACATAGGATTCTGGAGATAGAAGATTGTTTTCTTTTAGACGTGAAACTAAAAGTTCAGAAACATCCTTTGAGACACTTAAATCTCTGACCAAATCGTTCAGTTCTATTCGTGTAAAATGTTTGGGTTTCTGTTCGGTGCTTGTCCAATCAGATTTTTCAGCTGACTCTCCTGGCGTTGAACTTTAATCAGAATGCAGTACTTCGAGATTCGAAGGAGGTTCTGGTAAAGAAACATCATTGCCATGTGACTTTCTAGCGGCCTCAAATCAAGATAAGTCATTCCGTGTCTGTTTTTTAATTGAATCCTTTTACTGTTCAAATACAAAAATAACAATTGTTTGATGTTTTTTTGGCTCGCGCCACACCATAGGAACTCCAAAAATCAGTGCCTTTCTCTTCGCCTTCGACCATTTTCACTCCAAAATAACCGTTATAAACACTTCTAACAAATGAAGTTATAATTCTATCTCTGTTTTGCAATCATAAATTGTTCACAAATATAACAAAATGTATTTGGTCCATTCACACACTTTCTTTACGTGGATATAGCACAACAAATATTTAAACAAATAAACTAGTTCTTCAAATACTCTGCCTAAGGTGCATTCGAATATCTTAGTCAAAACCGGTTGATTTAACTTTTGCACAGTGTCTGCTATTATAAGCATGAAGTTATGTATACATGTATTCATAGATCTATGAATATAATAGTGTAATGTGCTGCCATCAGCCTGTGTTCTGTTACAATATCATGCAAAATGAACGGACATAATCAACTATCACGAATAATATACATATTTGCTTTTCTAACTCATTAAAGAAAATGTATATATTTTCAACATCTTTTTGATCACAATTACTGAAATTATTACAAAATTGTGAGTAATAGAACAAAAGTATCAAATTGGATTCAGGTGACCAAATTATGTATAAACAAGTGTCAAAATAAAAAAAGGATGTTGACCTGTGTAATTATAGTTAGATCTTTTTTCAAATTCACTACTATATTGAATTATGGATATACTGCAAAACAAATCTTTTTAAAGTTGCATAAAACAAAAACTAACACAATACCTTTATCATTCAATAATTAATACCAGTATTTATCATTTCAAATAATTTGCTATACATAAATGCAATGTAAGACTTTTTTATTACTTCTTGCAGCATCGGAGGAATGCAATTTGTTTATTTTTTAAATATATTCAAAGGAGAGTTCCAAACAAATTTATAATGTAAAATACAAGTGGGGAATTGCAAGAAATTTACTTTTTTAATTAGAAGATCAATTTTTACCAATCAGTTAGTATCGATGATTATGAATACTAATGAAACAATTTCATTTCAACATTTTTATCTATTCACTTTGAACATCGACCTTGAATGAACATTAACAATCTGTTTTCTACAAAAATATCAATTTCAGTGAATTCAATTACTTTTTTATTAATTTTTCCCTGACTATAAATGTTATTTGCAAAAATTATTGGCGTTTGGAGTGTTGTATACATCCCAAAATATTAAAAGGAATAGCATTGTTAACGATATATTTTGTATTATTTGGCCAACGTAATTGTATATGATTTAAGAATAATATCATTTTAAAAATAAATTCCCAAATAGTATTTATTTGTTTACATTATATACTTCATTTTAAAATCCTTACAATCTTAGCAGGTACGTAGATATTTCGTCAAGAGCCTTGGTGCTCCCAATGCGATTTCATTTTATCTTCCATGTTTGACAAATAACATTTAGAATTACATAACTTTATGCAATGACAAAAATGACGTACACCCACAATGAAAATTAATCTATGTAAAAACAGCCATGAACCAGGAAAAGGGGAAGTACCTATTGTGAATTATCAAGGTCATATTTCGATTCATACAAACATCGCGCACCTCGGACATCTTGCGCTGCTCAGCTGAGCACAATTTGGGATTTCCATCTTTTCTAGTGTCGATCATAAACTGTACACGCTTCCCTTTCATCTGAAGTGTATACAACTTATGTTGTAAGTATCAGCCGTACATCCGTGTGTGTCCTCTATTAAAGTAAGCGAAGGCGCAAGTATATTTTACTAAAATATACTTAACTCGCCGGCTGTCGCAGGGGCTGCCGAATTCAAACAGTAGAAACCTGATTTGGACAACTACAGATACCTAAGCCGTGTGCAATAATATTCAACTTCATAGGGTGGAAGTAAAACAGTCCGACCATTATATGATACACGTATGTTTGTAAATACGTTTCTAGTCGCACAGTTTGTCAAGTTTTGGCCAAATTGATTTTAGTTCTATATCTCTAAAGTAACTATCTATATTTTATATATGTCCAATTATCTAAGTCCAAGACTGCTTTCTCAAGGGAAAAAAATCGGAAATCAACTTTTCATTCTTTTTCTTGTAATCGGGCGAAACTTATTAACTAGTATAAGAGTTCTTTAAAATTTAAACTTTGTGATAAATATCATTAATTTACACATAAATTAAAAATATAAAAAATATTTTTACATCTACAGGTAAAATACATTTTTGCCAATGACAATACTACATTTTGATGCAAGCCATATTGGTTTTGCAGTGCCGTATCTGTGCTTTGTGGTATTTTTCCATTTCCTAAAAAGTTGCCTGAAGCTGGTTTTTGGGCGAGGCTGTCCGAGGCAATATAAAATAAATAATATTCCTGGTACCGTTTTTGTTTCAAACAGAAAAATTAAAGTTTCAAATCTATTTTTTTTTATTTCTGAAAAACCTCGATGCAAAATTTTCGACGAGGTAACAACAACTCATTCTGGTATTACGTCCCAGTAGATTGAAGTGGAGGGTGGCTGCGCAGAAAGCCTCATTAGAGGGAATAAATTGTAACTAATCCTTAGGATTTCCTAAAATTAATGCAAAGAAGTTTAAAGAATAGGAATAAAAATAATAGAACAACTATATTAATTGTAAATGAAGATCAATCCAATAGCTACGTAGTAACAATCCTGCCATCACTTTTCTAAGTAAAAATCAGATCGTGTGGTTTAGAATACAAAAAAACCAACTTCGTGCACTTCTCATTTCAAAAATGAATTTGGCCATTCTATGTACTGACAAAGTTATTTAAGAAAATTGTGCGTTTCGATAATTTTCTAGACGGTTCAAGATATTGATATTAAATTTTAATCGAACGAGTCAGAACATAGGGTTTTATCAGTTAGTTAGCTTTTTTAGTTAGTTAGATTTGTTTTATTTTAAAGATATATAACCAACTTCGTTTTTTTTTATACTGGAGTACTATTCTTTTCTACACTATTAGATAGACAATTTCAGAAATACTGCATACGTCAGTATTTGATTAAACAATTATAATTATTTAGGAGTTTTAAAGTCCAGCGTTATGGCAGTTTCAGAAATTCACGGCGAGGCTCGATTTCTAAACTTTTCCACAGCATCAATCGTTCGTCGGTTCCAAACGCAGCGCATTAAGAAGTCTAGTTCATCTTATGGCCTCTAAACGACAATATACCCCGCGTTAAATAAGCATGAAGTAGGTAGTATAGAATCGCGAAAGATAAGTTTGCCGCGTGCAGAGAGTGAATGACGTAGAGATAGCAGAGCTGAGATTTGTGACCTCTCGGCGGTCTTTTTCTGCGAATACTTGACTTAAATCGTTGAAAGTTGCGACCAGTTTGCATTATCAATTGCCTAAATGAAGTAAAAGGTATTTAATTTTATTAGTTGTTTAATTGGTTAATTTACATGTTAGGGAAAATCGGAAGTTACAGTAAAAAAATTCAGTGTCGATTATTCCTGTTATTGAGGTAGTTGCAATTCAATTGAATACATCCTTGCCCAGGAATAGAGCGATTTTCGCAGCAAAATAGAGGTGAGTATTTGTGTATTTTTGATGGCCCTCGGAGGTCTGTCAAACCGTTCGAAGTTGAGACAAGGGCTCACATTGCGATTTCTCGCCCAGCTATATCTAAATAGTGGTGCTATAGAAAAGCTAGTTAGTTTCTTTTTTCTTTAGTCTCGTCTAGTTTTTTGGTATCGGCCTACCCCCTCCTAGCTGCCATCTACTGGCGCCTAAAACATATTTTGTCACATTTTATCAATATTTCGATACCATAATGGTAGAATCAAATATTATTTTAAGAATATTAGAGAAGAGGAAATTTTAGCCATGAACGCAAATTTTCATTGAACAATTTGAAGCAGTTTTAGTAAAAACTTACGAGATGTTCAAAATTTATATTTCAAAATTTAGAGTATGTTCTTGTCGCATCTGATTACCTGTCAGGTCCATTAAAATATGCCTTGAGAGACAGTGGATTTGCCTGGGAGAGACAGTGGAAGGTGGTACTACGAAGGTGGAGGATGGTTATTGGAAGAAAAGTGAACCCAATGCCTTGAATGATAGTATTAAACGAGTGCTTCACGAGTGGGAGGTTTTTCCAAAGAGAAATTCGATGTGATTGCAGAGGTCACTATACTGCCGTTCACTGGCACCGCCTTCCAAACTTCGAGTACCAGATATTCGTTTATTACCGATTTTCATACTTCTTCGTGCTGTTATTCATCAAATTCCAACACATGAGGTATTGCTGAAGTTTTCTTCTTAATATATATCCATTCTTATGAAAAGTGTGTTCGTGTCGCATGTAAAATAACAAAACAAATTAGTTCAATTTATTTAAAACAAAAAATTGTTCTGACCGGCAGTGATCCCTGGTTTCGTCGATTAACGCAAGGTGTATGTCGGATTAGTACCCTTACAAACGGGCCACGGAAGGCGTGCGATCTCTCCTTACTTTTCCTTGGCCTGTCCTGACCACCTACACGTACTGTACACTCACGCGTACTTGGTCTACAATACCACACATATCGGAAGACCGATCGGGAGCTTAGAACTTGTTCCGGCTGGGACGGTGCCTCGCTGGTGGGAGATACCTGGTTGGGGAACATCTGGATGTAGATGAGTAAGACGGCGCCGGTTCTCGGCATACAGCTGGAGAAGACCACCGCCACGATAACATACACTACACTTACGGAACTAATGACCATAGTAGTTGACACGCCCGGAATCAGTATCCATTAATCAGCATCCAGCGGAAAAAGATCAAAGCCACCGCCCACGACAAGAATATGCACTATACTTACGGGTTACTAGTGACCTTAGGCGTTGACGCGCCCGGCATCACTAATGAATGAATCGTGTGGCTGTTCCCTCCTCAGAAGGCATGGAGTGCTCGTGCCCGCCGGGCTTCGACCTGCTGCAGGCGGGCGACGAGGTGCTCTGCGCGCCCGTGTGCCCGTCCTCGCTGCCCATCGGGGCACAGCCCGCCTGTGCCGCCCCCACGTGTCGGCGCGGCGCCTGCCTCTGCCCCGGCGGGCTGCGGCCCTACTCGGGCTCCAACCCGCTGTGCCGCCGCCCCTGCGACGGGCCCTGCCCCGAGCCCGTCTGCCCCGACAAGTGCTCCTGCCGGCCGGGCTTCGTGCGCGACTCCTACAACGCCACGAGGTGAGCCCACGAGCCCACGCTGCCAGGTCAGCTTACTATGTCTACGTCGTCACACGGTGAGCTTACAATGTATAGAATAATACTAGGCGGGCTTACAATATCTAAAGCGCCACCACGTGAGCTTACATCACTATGGGAGCTTGTAACGTCTAACACGCCACTAGGTGGGTTTACAATGCTACGAGCATCACCAGGTCAGTTTACAATGTCTAAAGTGTCACCACGGGAGCCTACACTGTCTAACACTAGAATGTTTTGAACGCAATCGGGTGAACTTCGCATACCTAGGACGTCTTACGACGCTAAATTGCTGCAGTCTGGCGAGAGCAATTGCATGGTGAGATGATGGCTTTTTTAAATGTATTATTTTAATAAATAAATACATAATAGTTCATAACATATGTATTACATATTAAATTGAATTGTGGTCTTATTTTACTTGGCGAGACTCGGGCCATCATGCCCGATCATTCGTCTGACATCGCAAATTTCGCTACGCTCCTTTCACCAACTATCGGAGAAAGGAGGTATTTCTTGGGCGAGAAGCACGCGATTTTGAATTTAGCTCAGAGGCGTCATTAAAGCTTGAGGATCTTTTACATGCAAGTAAATCTACTAACATGGGAAAGCCGGCTTTACTTCCCCTCCAAAGGAAGGCCTACAATGGATATTTTTCGACATAAAAATCCACGCAAACTTGGGTATAACAGTCCGCTAACCGTTACACCATCGCCACCGCAACATACTAGAATATACGGAACATATATCAATTAGTATTGGGAGACATGGACACCTACGGTTCCACTTTGGAATACTATATTATGTGTTATTTTTCGTTCTGCCACGGGCACTTAAATCCCAATTGAATTGAATGGGATCGAGTACCGCAAGCCCCCCTCCTGCAGGTGCCGGCCCGCGTGTCCTCCGGGGGGCTGCCCGCAGGCCGCGTGCAGCAACTCCTTGGAGGCGTTCGGCTGCGTGTGCCCCGAGGGCTTCCAGCTGCCCGTCAACGGCAGCGGCACTCAGTGCGAGCCCGTGTGCCCGCTGGGCGAGTGCCCGCCCGCCGCCTGCCCGTGGAGCGCCCCGCGCTGCCGCGTTACCTGCCCGCCCTTCAGTTGCCCTGAGGTAGGCGCTCACGTCGTTTAATGAACAGATTGTCGACCATTAATTTAACCGACGCATTTACATTGAATGAAGGGTTTTTAAATGGTAAATGCTACGACGTTTCGCCCCTTAGACATATTATGGCCAATTTGATATATTTTGCATATTTGACATATTTAGTTTATTATTAAATAGCAAATGTTACGGCGTTTCGGCCCTTAGATTTATTGTGGCCAATTTGACATATTTGGCCACAATATGTCTAAGGGTCGAAACGCCGTAACATTTACTATTTAAAATCCATTTATTCACTGTAACTGTGTCTGCTAAAATAATGGTTTATTTTATAGTTGAGTATAAGGTTCAATAAACAGCTCACTTCATGATGTTGCTGTACCGGGTGGGTCACCTAAGATGTTCCACCCAAATCTTTTCTGAATCGTTGAAGGTAATGAGATGCGGAAAGCACTAAAACAAAATGTTTGCAAGAGGCACGTGAAACGATATAAGTTATTTTTAATACCCGTTTCTATTGCAGAATTATCGGAACAACTTAGATTTATTATATGGAATTCTAATGATTTCTTTAGCCAATGATAACTGTGTATTTTCCTCTATGTTCCATGACATTTTTGAGAAATTAAGTTTTAACTTTTTCTTATGTACATCGTGAGTGATAGTCCGCCACCGCTATGAAGAAAACGATCCGTTGTATCGTTTAGGGTTCAAACAACAGGCTTTTTTTTATCAAAACCGGGCGGAAGTTGTTTATTTGGTCTTTTATTGAATATGGAATACCCACATGCGTTGGCCTCTGAGAACTTTGGAAAAAGGTTAAGAAATATACAATTAATTTGATAGTAGAAGAGCTGAAAGAGAAATAAAGTGTAGCTAATGCTTCGTATGAAAAATTAATTAAATTGATTTGCTGTAGATAAACTTCATTGTTAATAGGAAGGACTAAGGAGGATGAAAGAAATGTTTTGGAATCTTTTGTTTGATTCCATTTTCATGAGAGTTATGTTTTCATAAATGAAAATGGAGTGCAGATATTATATGATTTATATGGGAAGTAATGGAAATTTATGGCAATTCCAAGAAACTAAAATGTATATTATCTCTGTAAAATAATTGTGACGTAAATATTATTATTAATAATATTATTACTATTAATAATAGTAGTAGTGGTAGTGTTTTTAGTAGTATTATCAACATCGTTATATTTACTCGGTATACACAGACTCTGCACGCTACGTTTAACGGTAATTGTGTGGAGTCCAATGAAGCTCGTCTCCCAAAAACTTTCTCCCAATATTGCAAGTGCCCAGTATAACCCATTTCTGATTGTTTCTAGTAAGTGGCTTTTTGATTCAATGGTTTCTGACTGGCCCTCGGCCGGTGCTGCGTGCGCAGGTGGTGTGCTCGTCCGTGGACGCGTGTCGCTGCCCCGACAGCTACGAGCCGGACCCGGCCAACGCCACCCTCTGCCGCCGCACGTGCCCTTCTCCGGCTGCCCGCGCGCGCTCTCGCCGCCGGCGACTGCCTTCTGCCCGCTGACCCGCTCCGTCACGCCCCGCCCGCGCCCCGCCCGCCCCCCGCCCCTGCGCGTGGGGGTGTCCCGAGGGCTCGACGCCCCCCGCCGCCCGCCCCCGCCGCGCCCCCGCCTCGCCCCCGCCTGCACGCCGCGCTGCCCGCCCCGCGGCTGTCCCAAGCCCCGCTGCATGGTCACCGGCAACGACGTGGTCGCCGCGGACAACGAGACGGTGTGCTACTGCGAAAAGGTAAGCGGCCTGCTCGCGTTTCGTAGGACGGAGACACGAGGGAACCTTCCACTCCCCAACTCCGATCTTTTCAAACTCTCAATACTTTCAATTCATCGGACCTTTTCAATTCACCTGATCCTTTCAATTCACCTGATCCCTTCAATTCACCTGATCATTTCAATTCACCTGACCTTTTCAATTCACCTGATCTTTTCAATTCACCTGATCCTTTCAATTCATCCGATCTCTTCAATCCTTCCTGTCCTTTGAATTCTTCTGATCCTTTCAATTCCACCTATACTTCAACTTCTACATTCCCATGAGTAGTCCGTATTCATCAAGACCCTCAAATCTCTCCAGTCCCTTTCAATTCCTTTCAATGCTAATTATCATATTTCACCGAATTGATGACATCCTTCCACTTTCTTAGAATCATTCAAAACTCTCTAATCGCTTCAGGTATGGATCCAGATTTGGAATTTACTGCTGTGGGCTTGTTATTTTCTTTGTTTGCCTTTTTGTCCGAATTAGAATTTTGAATTCTTCAAATCCTATATTTGTCTTACTGCTGTATTGTATCCTTCCCGTGATGGATTTGGTTTGGATGTTTGTTTCTCCCGTGATGTAGCTCTCTCATGAACCACAAATTAGCCAATCATGAACCACAAGTTCAATCCAATCCGTGATGTTGTAGGCATCTAACAAACGTTTCAATCATATATTCCTACATTTCTTTTAAATCGTTTTTGAGTAGAGTGAGCCGTACTAAAATTACATGTACTGGTATAGAAAAATTCATAGATAGCCTATTGTAAAGAGACATTCAAGATTTGGGTTTTAGCAACTACAAATTTTGCCCCACTTGTACAAACTTAAAATAATAAAAACCATAGTTAAACGAAGAAACGATATAAATTAATTGCACATTAAATTTACGATTGAAAACTGGCTTAATACTATCATAGTTAATTAACTATTCATTTTACAAGACTGTTAATTACTGTGCGTGTTCATATTTCTTAAAAATATCTAATTTCATAATAGAAAATATTATTTTCGAATAAAACTAGAGATTTGTATTATCTTCTAAATTGTTAATAACTGTTATTATTTATCGTCCCTTCCTGTTGTTTTATCAAATTAAAATGCAATGTATCCAAAATTAGTACAATCACCTGTTTCCTGAGGTTTAGATATGACTTACGGTCAGAATGTTGGAGTACAAAAGGACTTATTCTACTATCATCATATATTTCCGGCAAGCAGAGGAACTCGGCCAAGAGCGCGTTGATATGTATTTTCAAGTACAAGTTGCTTTTTGCAGATTCATAGGTAAAGAATAGATACATTTTAGATGTCTCTGCAATTTTCTTACGTTTCTCATTTTTATTTTTCCTGCACTTTTACCATTTTAATTTTTTTCTCTAGTTCTTTTGGATGGAGGCATTGTCCGCTCTCGATTCGCCTCTGCGATTACATTAGTAACATATTCAATAGTTTGAGTTAAGCGTCTTAATTAGTTTTGATACAAAAATTAAAAACTTTTTTTGTTTTAATGACAATTTAAAAACATTTTAAGAACATTTTATTATTAATTTTTGGCAAAGTTTTAGGTCATCTAAATCCGCCCTCTTCTTATTATATTACCCAATCCTAGGGATACTCATACTATACAAATGCCCGACTGTGAGTCGAGTGAGACTGGTAAATTAAGATACTTTTTTATTCGGAATGTTTTGGTCGAATGTGTTATATTACAGATTATGTGAAATGATGCAGGATAACTCAGCGCATGCTACGAGACAATTTAATTGGTTTAAATGATTATCAGAAAATATTTTTACGTAGTAGAGAGAAGATTATGTAATGCTGTAGAAAAAAACGAATTTGCAGCAGAAATACTCTTATACAGGGCCCTCACAACAAAAAAGTGGATAAATCCAGTTGCTGAATTTACAAAAAATCCTCTTACACGAGGTGTAGCTAGAATCCATGTTTTATGGGTCCTTGATACCGGAAAATCGAATGACGGCAAAACGCCTGTCTTGTGCCTGTCTGTCCATCTGTGAACAACGCTAGCAGCTAAACTGTTCAGCTGATTTTCTCCACAATTGATATTCTCCAACCAATCTGACTGATATCATGGCACGTAGAATTTGAAACCGGTATTTTAATTTTTAGATTTACATTATATGAAGCACCTGGGGCATTTTTCAAATAATTTGATTGTTTTTTAAAATTATTTTCAAAACAATGGCTCTAACATTTTTTTGGTATACAGTGCGAATAATGTTTTAGAGAATGAAACAGGTCGCATGTTCGTTGAACACCCTGGCTTTTTTTAAATTGAGAAAGGTCAATTTTTTTAGGAATCTTATATTAATGATAGATATTTTTCGCTTAATGAAATCTGTTCCTTGAAGATAGATTTTAAAATAAGGTCATGAAAAAGTTTTCCAAAATTGTAGTACTTCTTGCGTGAAAATACGGGTGAGAAAGGACTTGCCGTTTTAGCACCGCTAGTTACTTGAAAGTTGTGTGAGAAGTTAAAATTAATAGTTGCTGATTTTTTTTTTTTTGGAGGGGGGAATTCCCACATTTACACCCACCCCGTGGATTCGCGCCTGATATTTGCAATAATATTTACCAAACCATGTGTACAGTTTCCATGTGTGCAGTTTCTAAATAGTTAAGATGTTCATATTACTTCAATTTCATAATTAAATCACTCTTTTCTATAGAGAAATCCAGATTAGAAAAAAATTGAATCTGTGAGGCCCAGAGCACCACCGGTGCAGGAATCAGGTGCCGTACCGTGGAAGGAAGGGAGGGAGGGATGGCTCAGGGCAACAACTGATGTCACTGCAGTCCCTTTGATTGGGAGGTCCTTGGTTCGAGTCCTGACGGAGGCAGGATACCAGACTAGATTGTCAGCAAGTTTGAATTCAGTCACTCTCTGGAGAAGAATTCTACCGGTCGGCTGCTTTGATCGGTAGTTTTTCGTGGTTCCTCCTCGGAATCAGGCAAATTCCGGAGCAGTACCGAAACAAACGGGCCACGGACTGAGCGCAATCTTAGCTATCTCTTCCTTGTCCTATTCTCACCCCCTACTTACACACACTTACTCTAACATGCACAACAATAACACATATGTCGAGAGACCAGTCAGGAGGTTAGAGCTTGTCCCGGCTGGAGCGAAGTCCCCGTTGGTGGGAGATACCTGGTTGGGAAAATATCTGCTAACCGACGGTAGGTTGGCGCCGTATCTGGTCATACAGCGGGAGAAAGATCATCACTACCTCCCGAGCAAAACATGCACTACACGTACGGGACTAACGACTCTAGACGTTGACGCGTCCGGAATCACTATCAATCAATCAACCAATCAACCAATCAACCAATCAACCAATCAATCAACCAATCAATCAACCAATCAATCAACCAATCAATCAACCAATCAATCAATCAATCAATCAATCAATCAGTCGCCAACGAAGGGTTATCCGTGGGTGTTCTACGCAGGGCTTCGAGCTGGTGATGGCGCCGGCGCCGCTGGCGCTGCGCTGCGTGCCGGCGTGCCCGTCGCCCGGCGGCTGCCCGGCCGCCATGTGCGCGTGCGCCGCCGGCTACGCGCCCTCGCCGCCGGCCATCGCCCCCACCACCGCCCCGGGCGCGGCGGGCGTCGCCCAGCGCTGCGAGCCCGCGTGCGCGGCGCCCTGCGCCAACGGCACGTGCGTGGCGCCCGGCGTGTGCGCGTGCAGGCCCGGCTACGCCCGCGCGGGCCCCGGCCCGCTCGCCGCCTGCGCGCCCGTCTGCGCTTCCGGCTGCCCCAACGCCGACTGCGTCGCGCCCGACACCTGCAGGTACCCCGCCAACGCGTCATAGTTCAGTCTGCTTGACAGCTGGGGGCGATCTGGTCATTTCTTGAGGGAGGAGACACGTGGCACGTGTGCTTCTTCTTGACTAAAATCACTGCAGCAGCGGCATTAGCAAGAAACAAAATGCACAACAGTAGACGACACAGAACCGATCACACGACGCCTAACCAAACAAGTAATGGCGCTCTTCAATTTTTCAGCTTCTTCGTGCTGTAAGATTTATTTTTTCTCTTAATAAACATCGGCAACTCTGCAGTAACATCATCAGAATTCTCTGATTCAATAATGAAACCCCCTCCCCCTGTCTACTGCTAGTTGTCAAGCAGACGGAAATATTATTCATGCAATAGTTTAGATTCAATTTGGAGTGAACACGTAAGTGCCTGAAACATTCCGAACATTTACCAACGATATTATGAAACAAAGATCATTAGCACCATAATCAGCCTTTATCTCTAAACGTAATTGTTACATTATACTTCATTATATGTTTTATTATTTAATATTATTCTATTCCAATTGTTTTACCATAATCATACTCAAAATAGAAAATGTTTGATCATATCATCGTCATGTTTAATAATTTCACCCCTTCCTGCTGAGAGTGGGTAATATTTTGTATTATCCGTAGACGATCAACAGCTACTGTAGCAATAAGACGAAACTAAGAAACATGGCTGTTAGACTCACGTTCTCATTTAGTTTGGATCAGAGAGCGGAGGACAAGTAGCTACGGGGAGAGTAAAAATGTGGGCGAAATGTCCGGAGTGTAAGGGCCAGACGATCACGGGTTCTGTAGGCAAGCGGTCCGCCGGACGGCGACCGGTCTTAATTTTAGCGTGTGACGGTATAGTCACGAAACGGAAGTCCGACAGCGCGCATCACGCGTCGTTTTTTCTGCGGTAAAGCAGGGTAACTGGGGAAGGAAAGGTTGTCAAAGGATACATGTTAAGCATCTATTGTATCTTGTTTTTAATTTATTAACATACTTATGTTGTAGTTATTTGAAATGATTGTCTTCCTGCACTACGTCACGCGTGTGTTGGGGTGCGCAGGTGCAAGGAGGGGTACCGGCGCGAGGGCGCGAGCGCGCGCTGCGTGCCCGACTGCCCCGGGGGCTGCGGGCGCGGCGCGTGCGTGGCGCCGGGCGTGTGCCACTGCGAGCAGGGCTTCCAACTCAACGCCACCACGCGCGTCTGCGAGGCGCACTGCCCCGGCCGCTGCGGCGCCAACGCATGGTCAGCCTCTGCCACCTTCACTTAGATTTACTGTTTTCGTATTAATGGTTCAGCATATTTATTTTGATTTGTCTAATTTATTTATATTTTAAGTTTTTGTTTATTTAATTTTTATTTTTTAATTTATTTGTTTTATTTTATTTATTTTCTATCTTATTTATTTTAAATTTTTATTTATTCATTTTTTAATTTATAGTTTTATTTATTTTCTATTTTATTTAACTTTTATTTTTTTATTTATTTAATTTTTAATGTACTTTATTTCTTAATTCTTATTTTTAATAGCATATATTTAATTCGTTAAGTGTTGCATTTATTTCGGGGAGATAACAGAAGGAGAGGACCACTCCACTATTCTACATCCCACATCACCAACAACACATATGACAAAAGATAGGAGTACTAGGCGATTTTGTTTTTGTATAATTTATATACGGATTTCAATCTTGGTAAATAGTTTGCGTTTAACTTCACCATTTTCTCTGAACTATGTACTACTGTCAACCATGCCAATGTAGTTGGATTGAAAGTGTTTGTATGAAAAAAAAAAAGAAGTATTAGATTGAACTGATTCGTGATAAGAGCATTCTATACTTTGTTATATAACGAAGTCTAAGAAGCTATAGCAAACTGAAAATATATATTTAAATCGTTTCTCACGAACAGCCTGAACGCAGTCTACAGAAATCAGTTCGATACCAACACGTGTTTATGTCTAATGGAAAAAAAATGATTAAGCCCCAATTTTTCAGTGAGTATATACATTTTAGGGTGAATTAAGATAAATTCCTGCTCTTTTTGCATAGAGTTTTCCAGCGGGAGGAAATCACTCTCTCGATAAAATATACACTACACATGCGGGAATAATAAAGTTAACAGTTGACTCGCCCAAAATCACTAATTAATCAATCAATCCTACTTTTTCGAGTAGAGTTTTGTTAGTAAAGACCTCGGTGGCTCATAGGTGAGCGTGCTCGTTTTGCACGGCACAGCCCCATTGCCGGCCGAGGCAAAACTATAATTGTGTGCGTTCGTTACAAATGTCTCAGAATAAAATGCTGTGTGACAATGTGGAAAGCCCACCCTAAGGTTATGAAGACCAGTGTATACGGTAGAAGGAACCCGCTAACCACACGATCCCCGTATCCCACGGCCGAGACGCTGGGCCACCGCTGGTCGGCCGTAGCCCGTAGCGGGCTGTCGATCCAAGAAGTGTCGTAGCTTTGTTAGCAGCGTTTGCGCGTCGTGGGTTGTGACGCAGGTGCGCGTCGCCGGGCGAGTGCCGGTGCAAGGAGGGCTACGAGGGTAGCGCGCGCAAGGGCTGCCGGCCCAGCTGCCGCGGCGGCTGCAAGAACGGCGAGTGCGTGGCGCCCAACCGCTGCGTGTGCCCCGGCGGCTACGCGCTCAACACAGCCTCGGGCAAGTGCCAGCCCGTCTGCCCGGGCGGCTGCCCCAACGGCGAGTGCGACCGCCCGGGCGTCTGCAAGTGCAACTTCGGGTGAGAGAGCGCTCGCCGCGCCGCTTCCTTCTCCTTCCTTGCGTTCATCCTTCGTCAGCGCCTTCTTCTCATTTTTTCTTCTTCTACTTCTCGTCCTTTCTTCTTCTACTTTTAGTTTTTTATTCCTTCTACTTCTAGACCTTGCTTCTTTTACTTCTAGACCTTTCTTCTTTTACTTCTAGACTTTTATTCTTCTACTTCTAGACCTTTCTTTTTTTACTTCTAGACCTTTCTTTTTTTACTTCTAGACCTTTCTTTTTTTACTTCTAGACCTTTCTTTTTATACTTCTAGACCTTTCTTCTTCTACTTCTAGACCTTTCTTCTTCTAGACCTTTCTTCTTCTAGACCTTTCTTCTTCTACTTCTAGACTCTTCTTCTTCTACTTCTAGACTTTTCTTCTTCTACTTCTAGACTCTTCTTCTTCTACTTCTAGACCTTTCTTCTTCTACATGTTGTTCTTTTTTCGTCTACGTGTTGTTCTTTGTCCTACGGCTTGTCCTTTGCTTTCTATGTCTTGTCGTTTCCTATTCTACGTCACGTCGTTTCTCCTTCTACGTCTTGTCATTTCTCCTTCAACGGCTTGTCGTTTCTCCTTCTACGACTTATCCTTTCTCCACCTGCATCTTGCCCTTTTCCCTCCTGCGTATTTTCCTGTCTCCTTCTAAGCCTTGTCCTTCTCATAAGTCTTGATCACTCTTCTACTTTCTTCTTCTCCTCCTCTCTTGTTCTTCTCATCCTTCGTTTCCAGGCTTTTCTTTTTCTCAGAATTATTAAAAAAGCAATAAACCATAGTGTGTGTGTGCGAGTACAGTTCGCGCAGAGGGCGAGCCAAACGGGGCGGTTGCGTTGCGGCGCAGGTTCGCGCGCGGGCCGAGCGGCGGCTGCGAGCCCGTGTGCCCGGAGCGGTGCAGCGGCCACGGCGTGTGCGTGGCGCCGGCCGTGTGCAGCTGCTTCGCCGGCTACAAGCCCTCGGGCCTGGGCAAGTGCAAGCCCGCCTGCGCCGCCGACTGCTCGCACGGCAAGTGCGTGGCGCCGGACACGTGCGCGTGCGACGCGGGCTACGTGCTGGACGCCCTGAACCGCTTCAACTGCGTGCCGGCGTGCCCGCAGGGGTGCGTGGGCGGGACGTGCGTGGCGCCCGGCCGCTGCCAGTGCCTGCCCGGGCTCGTGCCCGCCGCGCCCAACGTGTGCGCGGCACCCGCGCAGCCCCGCTGCAGCCGACCCTGCAACAACGGCAATTGTGTGGGTGAGTGTTCACAGGCAATTTAGGCACCATACAGGCTTCAATTGCATATACTTAAGTATTGAATGCCCAATGTCATATAACTAGGCATATAGCTATAGCATATAACTACAGTTATATGCCTACAGCTATATGTGTGTGTGTGTGTGTGTGTGTGTGTGTGTGTGTGGATGGAAGTTCCTGTTCTTTGTTTTCGGTGATGAAAAATTCGTTAAAGTATATCCACAATGAACACAGGAAATAAGACCAGTAAGTTGGTTAAATTTTTCTGCACCGTTCGTGTACATTTAAGCAAATGACAGCCCATTCGTTAACAATACACAAAAGTTAAAAATCAGTTGAATTAGTATGAGATTACTACGCTCTGTAATCTGTTTTTTTGGGGGGGGGGACAAGGCGCCGACCGAATCCCCTCAAAGAGCAGCCGCCTACCGTTATGTACAACTCAACAAAAGTTAACTCGTCAGCGTGAACGTCAGGTCAGATCACGTTACACAAAGGTAATAAGAGTTCTCTGATCCTGTGACTGTCTTACTTTCTGCAGCAGGTGTGGAAGAGTTTTTAGGAGAGGTTTTCGATCCTATGTCTTACCGCAGGTGGCGGCGAGTTTTCTGATCGTATGATTGCCTTGCTTTCTGCCGCAGAAGCAGACGAGTTTTCAGTAGAGTTTCCTGATCCTGTATCTTGCCTTTTGCCGCAGGTGTGGACCAGTGCTCGTGTCACCGGGGCTACGCCTCCGACCCGCGCAACCGCTTTAACTGCGTGCCCTACTGCCCTCGTCCCTGCGTGGGCGGAGTCTGCTCAGCCCCAGACACGTGCTCCTGCGCCCCGGGCCTCGTGCTCAAGAGCAAGTAAGTCACACCGCACAACCCCACTCTTACTCCTGCACTCTGGGCTTCTTGCGCAAGAGCAAGTAAGTCACAACACACAACCCGACATCTGCTCCTGTGCTCCGGGCTTCTTGCTCAAGAGCAAGTAATACCCACCACATGAAACGTCGCTTGCACAGGGTTTTCGATCGACTTTTTGGCTGTCCGTGTGACGTCGTGCCGTAGGCTGAGACGCAGACGTTTCGCCTGTCAAGTCGCAGGCTTCCTCACTGCCCTGAGGAAGCCTTAAATATGACAGACAAAACGCCGGCCTCGCAGCCAACGACACGGCATCACCCGGATAACCAAGAAGTCATGATCTCAAGCATGAGATTTGGATTGGTTTAGCTCAGGGGCAATAAGGCTTCACAGCAACACGGACCGGGAGATTCTGGGGTTTGAATCGCGAAATCGCGGATTTTTGACGCTAGCTACGTAGCTAGGTGGAATTCAGTCGCCGTCTAGAGGAGAATTCTAGTGGCCGTATGCTCTCATAGTTTTTTTTCCATAGTTACTTCCATCAACACCAGACTAATACCAAAGCAGTGTCCTAACAAACATGTCACGCGCGATATTCCCTTCCTTTTCCTTGCCCTGTCATCTCCCCCTCACACATACAAACACGAACACGCGCTTTAACACACTTTCACTTCCACACATGTCGGGAGCTTACAGTTTCTCCCGACTGGGGCGGTGCAGACCGGGGGAACATGCCTGCGAGTGTAAATTCCTAACAAATCAACTGGCATTGTCTCTAAACCAAATAAAACGTCATAAAGCCATATGTTGAGTCATTGTTGTCACACGTTGAGTCATTTCGTGATGGTTATTTCCATTAGAACGTTCTAGAGTAATAGCACCCCAAAGTCACAAAAGCCTTGTTCATATTTATGACGACATGATTAATAAAGTAAACCTGCAATAGTTTGAATAATATAAGCAGCTTACTATAATTACTATGTTTTCGAAGCTCATGCCTTAATAATAGAATATGAACCTTATCAGATTTATTTTTCATTGTATTAACTTCTGATTGTACTCTTTTAATTCCTCTTTTGAATGTTACAGTCTAAATGTCATTCAAGACACACATTACTTTCATTTTTAGTGTGTTTGTTTTTTCATTTTTGTTTTTAACTTACTTAGTCATCTCTAAATAATATGTGGGTAGGTCTTTGCTGACTATATTGCATTACGCTACATTATTATGCAAGGTAACAGGGTATATGACGGGCCTAGAAAATGTACCAAATATCGATGAGAAACCGTGATAAAAACCAAGTGAATGCCTGTGTACATGCAACTTGCATTACTTCTGTGTTGTGCAGAGTAGTCTATTACAAGGAAAAGTGTATGCTCGTACAGTGCTGCTCTCTACCACGAACACATTGAACTGCTTCGTCTGATACAATTCATTAGTTCCGTTTGAGTTCAATTAGCCACTAAATCATGTCTTTAGCAATTAGAATGAATCACAATTGCTTGAATAAAATGAAAGCCGCATGAAGACTTACGTCACGTTGTACTTATTAGAGCCTTTAGTCAAAGATTTACGTAGTATAGATGTTTATGTATTCTTGTGTCACTGTTTTGTGAATTGTAGATGAGTTATACACTGATTTTTTATACGAAAAAGTAAAGAGGGCAACAAGTGTTATCAGCTACAGTTGTTAAATAACCTCATTTACCACTTTTGAATATAAATATCAAAGAATAACCAAATGTAAGTTTCGTTTACTCGATGGGTAAAGAGAACAAGTGTCATTTACTCGCTTGATAGGCACATGTGTTATAAAATAAGTATTTGCGATTATATTTCGAGCATATACAGGAAACATTAAATGTCACTGACGAAACAGTAATTAATAATATTGAACAAAATGTATCACGTCATTGAGGGTGACAGAGTAGCAATGACATACCTCTGTCGTGTTTCCCGAGTGTATTCGTCCTATTTATGGGAGGACTTTCCGACTACCAAATTAAAATAGTGTGAAATATTTTAATTATTTTATAACTAATTTATTACTTGCGGTCCCTGCCCAAGCTTCCACACACGCTTGGAAGATCTATTTGTGATCCTACATTATTGGAAGCTGGGGCAATGTAACCGAAAAACGTCAACTTTCTGCAAACAAATAGCTCTTAAACATAGCAGCTCATATTGCAAATTGAATCTCTTAAACGAAATAACTACTCTTCAGCTCTGCAAACGCACACAGGCCAGCTACAACTCTGCGAAGGCAGCGAGATTAAATTTGGCTATTTCGCTTCAAAATACTGCATTAATGGTCTAATCTGCCCACGCGAAAAAAAAACTGACCGAGAAATGCTTTTTCCCTTCACGAAACGATACCAAAATAACGCGCTCGGACCAAACTGTTGACATGATACAGGCAGTATTATCGTAGAATATTTGCCTTACATGTTTTACCGAACCCCCTCCTCCCTTGCACCGTTACCACCTGTGACAGAAATATGCACTACATTTACAGGGCTATTGTTCCGTAACCGTTCCTAACCATTACCCGCAAGGGTGGTCCAGAGTATCAACTGATGACACTGCAGTCTCTCTGACCGAGAGGTCCTAGTGTTGCAGACCGGACGGTGGCAGAATTTTCGACCAAACTCGACAGCTAGGTCGAAAACAGCCGCTGTCTGGAGAACAATTCTATCGGACGGGTGCTCTGATCGATAGTTTTCCGCGGTTACTCGAATCAACACCACGCGAATACCTGCGCAGTACCTTAATATGTGAGCCACGGATCGAGGGTGATCATTACTTACTCCTGTCGTATCCTTAACCCGTTTCTATCTACACTTAGACTCGCATACCGCACTTGCCGGGAGACCAGTCGAGAGCTTAGAGCTTGTCCCGGTTGGGGCGGTACCAAGCTGGAGGGAAATACCTGGTTGAGGAAAATCTCCTGGAGCTGACGTAGGGCGGAGGACGTCCTCGCCATTCAGCGGGGGACGTTCACCGCCACCTCCCCCCCCTATAAAACATACACTATATTCACGGGAACAATGGCATTACCTCTAAATCGCTAATAAATCAATGAATCAAACCTTATAAGTTGATATTTCATCAGTTAAAAGCAATCTATCAGAACTAATGAGCCAATCCGTTGGCCTAGATCGCTAAGGCAGTAGTGCCGTAGCGATCTCGGACCGAAGGATCGCGTGTTCGAGTCCCACCCCGGGCACGGTTGTATTGTGTTCGACCTTTCACCCCCCTACCATCATTGTATCATCCTCACAGTTACCATACCGTTACAAGCAATAGTGCTCGCTAATGTCCTAGAAGTTGATGCGACATTTAATAACAAGAAAACTAATGAATCTGTCAGTCAATCCTCCCTTTCACGGTTCGAAAGGCTTGTAACGACCGAGACGTGTGGAAAGATTCACAAGAAGGCGCCGCTTCGCAGGTACGAGTGCGGCCCGCCGGTCGTGCGTTGCCGGAAGCCGTGCGTGAACGGCACGTGCGTGGCGGCGGACTTCTGCGCCTGCTACGACGGCTACAAGAAGTCCAAGGACTCGTTCGTGTGCCAGCCCTACTGCGCCAAGGGCTGCAAGGGCGGTAGCTGCATCGGCCCCGACACCTGCGGCTGCGCGGCGGGTCTCGTCAAGAAGAGCCGGTAAGACCATCTCTCAAAACTAATACTCTACTACAAAATACTACAATTTTTTAATTCGTTGCAAACAGCCGGTGATGGACAAATACGTCTTCGGTAGGGCTCGGGCTTTTAGGTAAATACATATTTTTTTGCCTTTGATGTTGAGCGTTGAAAGTTAAGTCGAAATTAAAGAAGTTCCCTATGGCTTACAAATATCAAATTGCATATCACCTAAAAATAAATATTTTCATTAAGTTACATGAAAATAAATATTTTTGTGGAAACAAAATATTATTACATATTTCGTTCAATGTTATTGGAGTAAATGAATATTTTGATTATTTTCAAGTTTAAACTTATAAAAAAATTTCAAGTTCAAAGATTTTGGATACACGAAGAAAGACGTGCCAGTTCTTACAGTGGTACTTCGTGGATTGAGTGGAGTGAGTTTTGTTCACTATTGTCAAAACGACTGAGAACCTTTTCTAACACAGCTGTCGATTCAGTTAATGACACCCCGAGCATTAACATATTCTTAAAGCTAGTGCAGCTTCCGAATTGCCTCACTTTGCACAGACGAAATGTGCAGTGATAACGAGGATGGCACACTTCGATATTTCTCTCGATCTATGTTACTGGTTTTCGTATTGGTAATAAATAAATATTCTCGTCGTTTTAACACATACTTTTTAAGCACATGAAAAATGAATATTTTTCCGTTTCTTAGCATCTAAAAGTTTGAGCCCTAGTCATCTATATGCAACAGTGCTACGCCACATGTAATTGATTCGAGAATTCAGTTGGTGCACATAGGATTTTGCAGTAATATCGTTACGTAATATACACAATGTCTCAGAGTAAATGTTAGAAATATCTAGGGTAGGCAGAGGGTGTATCATTTTGTCGGAGAACGGTACTAATGTGTTAGTTTTATTTTATGCAAACTATGTATTTTTCAAAAATTACAAAATGATAACATTTCAAAACTGCTAAATTGAAGATAAATATTTGTGTCTCAAACCAAATCTGTTCTAAATAACAGCTCTTTAAAAAAGGTCATATACATTTTTTGGATAAACGAGTAGTGTTTGCGTGTAGTGAGTTGAGTGTTGAGTTTAAATGTATGTAAAGTATAAAAAAATTGCAAACACCGCTCCAGATATATTCTTCATATTTTTAGAACAAAGAATACATAAAAAAGGCTCAAGTATAATTTTCTTTGATCTCTGTGAGAATTTCACTTTTAGAAGTAATGCGAGAAAGTGTGTGCTGAGCACATTTTTTTATTTTCTCTGGAATGCATCACAGGTACGAGTGCGGCCCGCCGTACTGCCGCCAGCCGTGCATCAACGGCACGTGCGTGGACAACGACTTCTGCGCGTGCAAGCCGGGCTACAAGAAGGCTACGGGCAACTCCTTCCGTTGCGAGCCCTACTGCTCGCGGCCGTGCGGCGCCAACGCCTCCTGCGTGGCGCCCGAGCGCTGCGCCTGCAAGGCCGGCTACCGCGACGTGCGCGGCCGCTGCGAGAAGGCCGGCCCGGCGCCCCGGCTCTCGTGCGTGCCCGCCTGCATCAATGCCGTCTGCTCCGGCGGCAAGTGCCTTTGCAACGCGGGGTTCGTCAAGGAGAGGGGCTCCACCTACAAGTGCGTTAGGAGCAGCGGGTAGCGGCAAACGAGCGTTGGAGGGTATTACGTAATACGTATTACGAAGGTATGAAGTAAATGGTGCGGTTTATAGGGCAAATATCATCGATTGATGTAAAACGTTGGAATTTAAAAAAAAATATCTGCGATTTCAACAAGTCAAACACGTGTTAGATTTGAAACTACGACATTTTTTTAACTTACTTAACTTAGGCTGGACTTGCTGAAATTGAAAATAAAACTTTAAATGTACATCTATTAAATATCAACATAACTAATTGTTAAAACAATTTTAAATATAGTTCTGGACAGTTAAAGAAAAAATTGAGTTGAAAATGTTAGCTTCAATGTTCCATTTCTAATTCTATCTTCTATTGCCTAAACCCTTTGAATATTCTTTCAAATTAAATCACGTCAATGTAGAAGATTCTGGATTGGTTGATATTTCAAAATGCCTAACGCTTTAGGAATGAATTTGCCATTGATTTTTCATTCAATTTCATTTATCTTTTTTTTTTTCATTTTCTTCTCATTAATTTTCATCTTAATTGTATATTTTTTGAGTTTTGTTTTATTTTTTTATGTTGTCTTCATTTTCCACAAGATTGCTTACGGTTATAACTCTCAAGTGTGAAATATAGTGCAAGTGGGAATAGTGAATGCCGTGAAGCAAATTCTGTTTTGTTAGATGGAGGGGTCTACCCCCATGAGCGTTTGGAGAAGGTCAATAAAGTGTGTATGAAAGTGGAAGATGAAGGCAACAAAAGCAAAATTCTTTATGTAGGAGATGAGAAGGAAATGAATGAAAAATATTTTAAATTCATATTCATTCAATTAATAAAGTGAATTGAAATCTACGTGCTTAATCGAATATTATATTAGATTGTATAATTTTTATGTGAATATTTAATTTGCAAATATTCAAAAATGAGGATCACAAAATGACGGTTTTTATTAAAACTAATGCCTGATCTCACTATCTAGTTTTTTTATAAATAGAAATCCTATTTGCTTAATTTTGGAACTTATCAGTGGAACGTATATAGTTCCTCCATAAATAGTTCAGATTTTCATGAACATTTGGTTGAGACTTGGTTAAAACTTTGTCATTTTCTTGTAATTATTTTTCCTTGCTTCTAATGATTAGCTCTTTTAGTGATTTTGATAATACATTACTTCCGTTTCTTTTCTCTTTTTGCGTTTTGTCACTTATAATTATTGTAACTCATCTCATCTATAATATCATGTGTGCTAATAATATCGTGCGTGCTTGACTATGGTATGCTACTGAGAGATCTTCGTCACGCTGGATAAATTTAAGAAACAGGCTCGGCGTAAAAGTAGAACAATAGTTGAGATGTAACCTAATTTTAACTTTAAATACGTGAATCTACAAACATAAAATTCCTATGGGTATTTATAGTCCTTTATTTACAGTTATATGAAAGAAACTTTTCAAATCCGTAAATCCATTAAATCTACAAATAACGTACGAATTTTTTAACAAAATTTAAGACACTGACAAGTTTGGTATTATGCTCTTGCTATCTATGAAACTTTACTTCAGTAATGCATATCTTTCTTACAGTATTTCACTACAATGGTTTAATAGATGACATTTCTATACGAGTACCGTGCTTGTTAAGTGAACTTTTATATATTTTAATAATATAACTATTGTTTTGTGATCTATTAATAAAGTGTTTTTCTTCTAAATACATTTCTAAAATTTATTTTGTTAATTATAACAAACTTTAAACACCCTCTTCGATGATCTTTCTTAGAAATAAACTTGGAATATTTGAGAATATAGATTACGATTAAGGATGTGAAAGTTTACTAGCAAAATAACTTTCAAAAATCCACACAACATTTTAAAGCATTCTTTTGTTCAGTTTCTGTAAGTGTTTCAGGAACTGGATTAATTCCTATCACTTTACGTGATGCTTGTCTCCAACAAAATGATCTTTTTACTCATAACCCCCCTCAGTGTTAAAGCGTCTCGCTATTGAGAAATTGTAGAAAATCTGTACATATAATTTATTGTAGTACATTAGTTTTTCTTGCAACTCAGAAGTTTTGGCCCCATTAGTTTACTATGAGTGATACGTTCCATAACTCAGAAAATCACAGAAATATTCCTTGAAAATGAAATCCTCCTACTCCAAATGGAATGGGTCACGAGTATACAGGAAATTTTGAATAATTTGCATCATTTGACAACTACATACACGTACTTGTACACACTTGTACGTAATACTTTAAATGTTTATTATGTTCGCAGAATAGTTGCAGCATAGAATTATATATTGAAATATATTTGATATACGTAATATACGCACGAAAGAAGTCATTTTTACAGGTTGCAGCTAAAATACGAAAGGAGCTTAATGTCAAATTAGCCGGTTAATTCGCACAGTAACCACACTCCTTGGTAAAAGTGTACAGAAATCCCGATGAACGTATCTTTTCGGACATTATTTGGTTAACATTGGCATTGAACATAGGGATCTGGCTAAACTAAAGTTATTGTCAGGGTATGAGACGTCGTGGGTATTATCGAGAAAACATATATTGGAAATTATGTTGTTTAATGTAATCTCAAACTCCGAAGAATGGAGCCTCGTCATCCCAATTCGGAAATAAATAGTAAAGCGGCCACTGAGGAACACAGTGAGGTTAGATTAGGCTAGGTAGTAGCGTATAAGTAGAAAATATAACTGCTCAGAGGCACTCAATACTACAGACATTGTCTCTCTCAAGGAATTGACACATTCCACCCTAACAGTCTCATTACTCTTATCTCACAACACGTGCTGACCGTCATGACGATCTTCACCTGCCCTTGCTATCTTGTATTGGCTAATCTGCTCTTCGTCCGACATAAGTCCGATGCCTAGTTAGGAAAATCAACTCAATTTGGATAATGTGAGCATCAACTGGATAATTCGTGAATAAACAAGATTCGGACATCAGCCCTCACATGCCGTTATCTGCCCATTTCGAGAGCTTCTTGTAAATCAAACAAGATAAACGCGATTTAAATGAACGAGTTCCCAGTGTCACGAGAAACGTTACTCAGGGTGTCGTCAATGTGCCAGTACATGCAATATCACGAGGGAAAATGTGTCACTGCGAGCGATTCGTATGACCGCGATGCCCGACATCCCTGTCTCTCAAGTCGTCACCGCCACCGCCATCACCACCGCAACCGCCATCACCACCGCAGCCGCTACCACCACCGCCACCGCTACCGCCACCGCCACACCAACCTGCCACCGCACACCGCCAACCGCACCCCGCCCCATCACCACCGCACCGCTACACTCGGCACCACGGCCACCGTTACCCGGCACCCGCCATCACCACCTCCATCGTCAT